TAGCGGGCTGAAATTTTCAATACCCTCTGGGGCAACCTTTGCGCATCTTTTGCCGAAAAAAATTGATCGGGTCATGTCAGGTCACGGAGTTATGACGTCATAAGAGGTACAGCCTCCGGCCGACAGTTACCAAACGTGTGCGCCGAATCCCTAGGTTTTCTGCCGGTGATACCCACATTGTTTGATGGATCATGATGAAACTTCCCATGCATGTTGGGGCAAGCATTGGCTATCGTGTGGTGCAAGAAAATTGACCGGGTCAGGTCAGGTCACGGAGCTATGACGTCACAAGAGGAACAGCGTCCGGTACTATTTTTGAAAAGCGCCCGAACCACTATTTTGCTAATTCTTGTCACCTCAATGGGAATATGCAGCAATATTAGCTTCTATAGGGAGCAAATGGACCTCCCAAATCCAAAAATACAATCAGATTTCAAAAATTTAAATTTTGGTTTTTCGAATTTCTGCCGCCGACTGTGACCTTGCCGACTTCCGGCGCTCCCAACGCGCCATTTTTAGAGCTAGGGAAACGAAATACATACCAAACGATAGAGAATTGATCAAGGAACACGATAGTGAAGGTTTCAAGTCGATATCTCCCACCGTTTTGCCGCAATCGCCGCGGAAAGTTGAAAAAGTTTGATTTTTTCGGAAAATTTGACCTTTGACCGGTCATAAGTAGGTCAAATGTTGACCTAGGACCAAAAAATATACCACCAATCGCGAGTTCTCGTTGAGAGCAATCCGTTGGTTTTTTCCGCTAAGCTCTACGACCTTCCGTTTCGAAACGCCAGGGGGGGGTCGTAACAACCCCCCCCCCCCTGGTCGTTCGTGTTATGAGAAATGGCCTGGTCGTGCGAGGGTTAAGTTTCAAGTTGATAGCGTAAGCGGTTCATGAGTTATTCAAGAAAAACGGAGGAGGGATCGGATCCGACCGCTCAGGCGGTCGCGGGATATCAGCCGAATCGAATGATATGCGATGTTGTGTAATGTGTATTCAGGTGAGCGCATGAACTTACGAACTTTTAACCCAACACCGCCTGGGCTATTTCCATACCCACGACACCCCAAGTGGGTCCTAACTCCACCTGTTTTCTCGAGAAGCGTTGGTCGTATCCAGCCTCGCGATGCGGCATTTGAAAGCTCTTTACGAGTCTTTTTTCCAAAGCACTCTCAAGATTTTAAAATTGAGGTCAGCCTTCGGGTCAAAGGTGAAATTTTAGGGTATGGGCTGCACAACGAGGCTTATGGACAGCGGAATTTGTTATTTCTGCCCAATGAACTCGGTCAAAGTCACCTCAAAAGGCTTTTTGAAAATACTCTGTGAGCATAAGTGTCATATTTAGTACAGGTCAAGGTGAAGGTCTGGCCACAAAAGGTCACTTTGAGACAACAATCGACCAGGGTAGTGATACCTCTTTAGGGATGAACTTTTATGTTTATTTTGATGGTAGTGGTCATTCTGCATCCTGGTCCTAGTTGTAGAAACTTTAATTTTAGGTCAATGTCATGCCAGTTCAGGTCGGGTTCCGAAAGGCGCGCGCCGTTGAGGTCTGACTTAAAAGTCCGCGCTTTTAAGGTCTAACTTAAAAGCCCGTTGACTTAAAGCCCGCGCGCCGTTGAGGTCTGTCAGGTTCCACGTCTTGTTGGGGGGGGGGGGGGGGGGGCAAAGGGCCCCCATCGTATCTCCGGAACCAATTACCGGATGGGAAAATTCAAACGGCATTCGAAAGAGCTCATCGAGATGCACAAGATAGGAGATCGATGGCCTTGATATTTGACCTGTGACGTCCCAGGGAGCTCAAACAAGGTCAAATTAGTCTAATTTACAATGACGAGAAGTCGGTCATAAAAATGAAATATAGGTTTCCGAAATGAGTCTGAATATGATGTATATTACAGCTCTGGCATGCGGATAGTCACCTGAATGGATGATGACCTGTGACGTCACAACGGAAATCAGCCTCGTGCAATCAGAAAACACTTTCGTGAATCGTAAGGAAAGGCATGTTAACTTGTGAATATTCGAGTATTTATGAAGACATGTCATATATACGCAGCCACAGAAACCTCTTTGACCATTTTCTTAAACCTATGACGTCACAAGAAGGTCAAATAACTTAAACCGGTCAACTTGTACCGGTTTACAACGAAAAACACTTTTTTACGTAAAAGTGACTTTATTCACATAAAAGATCATATTCAGTCAGGAAGAGGATGATAACAATGATAAGTATCATAAATATTACACTCATGACTGATTTCAATCACAAATACCGAAAATATTGTAACGTCATAAGAACAGTAGCTACTTTTTCAGTCAGCAAATGGCTATATCTCTGGCAACTTTAGAGATATTAAGTTAATTTTTAGCATGTGTAAGACCCGTAAGGGGTTCTCTGACATATATTCCGTTTTTTAAAATTTCCCCAAATTTCAAAAAATAACGCAAGGAATCTAAATTTTAGAAAATCCCTAGATCTAGAGATTTTCTATTTTTGAAATTTCGAGATAGCCATTTTGTTTGCCATGCTTTTCTATACATATGGTCGAATTTTTTCGTCTGTAGCTTGAAACTCTTATTTTCTGCGATTTTCTCCGTGAACAACTTTTTGACGAAAAATCGCCGAACATGACCTCAGTTTGGCCTCTATAGCTCGTGACCTGATATGACCTGGGGCATAATTTTTTAAGGCGTTGTGTAAAATTGATGTCCAAAGAGGTACTGAAAGTTTAAAGTCGAAATTCGCAGCCGTTTTTGAGTTATCTGCGAAAAAAAACACAGAGGGGAGCCCTTTGCCCCTCTCCCCCAACGGGTCGCGGGATAAGGGAGATGTCGCAAAATTTACCTGACCTGAGGTCACAAATATCAAAATTCCGAGATACACATCTTATACATACTGTTACTCTTACCAATCGCTGAAAGTTTCAAAGTGATCGTTCAGTCGTTGTAGCTTCAACGAGCCTTTGAACTTTTTCTTCGGTGAGGTCACTTGACGTGACCTGATGACCTGACCTTGAACTATTGGGTCTGAATTTTTCACATGTTCGTAAAAGATGTATGAACAGTTGTACCAAACCGGTGGAGATATTTGTGAAAAACCTGAGGTAGGTTCATGCGACACATAAATGCGACCTTGAATGGCCTTTGGCTGATCCTGACACATAAAAGGAATCATACATGATGAATTGGTAGCCGCTGATCACGAATATGGCATCTATTTTGCTCAAGGAGCCATTTAGAGCGTCAGGATAGCAAAAAGGTCTGAATTATTATGACTGACTTGAATAAGTGATAAGCCTCTAGCAAGGATACTCTTGCCCAACCTTGACCTTGGGGCAGCCTTGTTTCGTAACATAAACCACAAATAGGCGCCTGATAGCCTTCAAAATATTTTTAATCTTTTTGCAAAATAACTGTACAAGGTGTACGAAAAAGTACGAAGTTTGAGGTAAATTTTAGGCATGACCTTGACCTTGACCTAAAGGTTTAAGCACATTAACGGATTTTTCAGATTCTCTTCTTTCGTTTTCCATCCGTTTTTTTTCTGCTGTAGGTATGCATCCTACCGTCCTCTGGAACACTTAGTTTGAGATCACTACACATGTGACGGGTTTTTGCCTTTGACCTTGACCTCTGACCATGAAATTGATATCCTGACGTCAATTTCTTTTAGGTGCTTAAGAATTGTAGAACTAGAGGCCTTTCGCTTAGTAGGTACCATTTTTTGTTTCCATAGCTCCTATATTTACGGAGTTAGACGGGGGGGGGGGGGGTAAATATTGTCACCCCCGTGCTCCGCGGTGGTTGGAGTTACCCCCGGGCCCGGCGAAATTTTACATTTATGCCACCCAATCTCCCTTAATATTCACCTAGAGTCACCAAATTTGCACAGATGGTTAAGAATGTCCTAAGGAGGTCTCGTGGAAAACTTGCAAAAGCCGCCTCTCACGGCTCGATAAGACCATAGGTTCTGGAGATAACAGGAAGTCGGATCCAACCCCACAGGCGATCTTGGGTACGGAAATAGGCCAGGCGGTCCCGAATTTACCTTCGCCTGGCCAGGGACGTGGGTTGATGCAGCCAGTGCTGATGTTTTCTTCTCGTCTCAACGGCCCGTCCTTCGTCCCATGCCGCGAGTTCCTCGTTATAGCACAGTTCCTCGTCCAGCTCGCCGGTCCCTCGTCCCAGCTCAATGATTCCTCGTCCCAGTCCAAGCCTCTCGTCCCAGTCCTCGGATCTCTCGTTCTAGCTTATCGGTACTGCGTCCCAACATGTCGGTCCCTCGTCCCAGGCCGCCGGTCTCTTTTCCCAGCCCTCGGGTCTAGGGTCACCGTCCCAGCCCTTCGGTCACTCGTCCTAGCCAGTCCCTCGTCCTATACCGAAAGGCACCGGGGCTTTTATATGTCGACTCGCTTGTCTCTAGAGCTTGAAATGAACACCATTGAATTCCTTTCAGTCAATTTTTCGTTTTTGGTAAACGATGCATTGAATACAGTTTATTCCTAATTATTTAAACATGCAACAACATCCACTCAAATGATGGCATTTCAGTCGAGGCACATCAGATATTTACTAAATTTTGGCACAATCAGTATTTAATTATTTTATATAATCTCACTGGATTTGTGATAAAATAAATCGGTTGCGTGTTGCATATCGATATAGGTGTTGGTGAATAGATCGCATGACATTCATGACTGTTTCAACTTTCAGTGCTTCCACCAAACCCCGCGAATAAACATCTGCTCCGCCTGGAGCCGCGTACGATAAAGCAAACTCTCTGTGGGCGAGCGGGGGAGTGCTGAGTCACTGGTCTGTGTCCATAAAAGGGCCTGCTGCCGGCGAGGCGGAAGCGCCGCTGGTTCCTAGCACTGTCAGTTATGACTGCTGGCATTGGCGGAGCGCGGCTGACGAGTGCAGTGACCGGCCACCCCCGCCTCCCCGTCTGTCGTCCCTCAGCCACAGGTCCGTGGCATCCCCAGTAAACAACTCGGTACTCAGTATTGACTTGTATGACGGCTACAGGGGCTATACACGTGAGGAACGACGCATTGTGGGGCGACACTACCGCGGTCGACGGCACCGCCCACCAACATCATATCTACATACAACCGCTGCAAAAACAATCACATGGCAAAAACACCGCCCGTGTCATGGCACGTGTCCGCTGTGCGGTGACCGGTCAGCCCGCCCCGGGCGCAATGCCCGGCCGTACCACCGCGGCAGAGCCCGGCTGCACCACGGCCGGTCACCACCAGAAACCAGGCGCGCGCACACGCAGAGAACGCACACAAACGGACACATCGAGCGCGAATTGAGACGACGACACTCAAACGAGTACAAGAGCACACGCGCACAAGCACATTATACGTTAGCATCCCTGTACACAGTTGACCCAACACGAGATGGAGGTACCGACGTCTCCTGGCGCCATCCGATGATTGCACTGTCAACTGTAAAGCGTTGACCATTGGTAGGCCCATGCCTGCCATATACTTATGAAATACTTTGTGTTGAAATATTCCAAGTGTGTGAGGCCAAGTAAGTCACCATACAGTGGCAACGCTTTCAACAAAAATGAAACTGGCATCACACACATAAAAACTACAGAAATAAATCATTTTTCATCACTGAAAAATAATGACACAAGAACAACTAACGATACACAAAGAAAACACTCACTTCATAAACAGTAAAGCAGACGAACTGGTGAAACGAAAGACAAGTCGAGGTCAACAAGCAAGTTCAACTCAGCCCAATGCACCCATAGTTATTTTGGACGATACGAAACCGGTCATCAGTAGAAGTCAGTAGCTTAGTGGTTCGCCTGTCCCGACTTACAGGCTGGTTAGAGGGTGTTCAGGGTTACCGGACGGTTATAGAGTATCCAGCTGGTTACCGGCTAGTTATAATGACACGGCTTACCGCTCAGTTACGGAACCAGTCACAACAGAACGAACCTCAGAGTAGGCCGGTGGTTCACCTGCCGCTCGGTTACAGTTTGGTTACTGCTATGGTTACCCCTCGGTTACAGAGCCAGAGAACCAGGGACGGCCTTAGATACAGACTCCAGAAGCCTGTGTCATGTGAAAGGAGCCACTCTGGGGTGCCGCGAGCGCACCTCTGTGGGTAAGTGCAATGTTTAGTTTTCACTGCACATTGTGACCTACTGATGAGCCCAGGTCAGCTAACTCATATCGCCAGGTCAGAGCATCAGTGTAATACCGACAGAGAAAATGTAATTTAAGTTCGTCACTTTTTAAAACGCTTAAAGAATTCCGTCTGTGAATCATACTAAATGTGTATATTATGATGTATTTAACTAGTGGTATTGTTTGTCTTTCGATGCCTTTCGAAAACCATATTTTTTAATGGAACGAAGTTTGGTGTTTTGTGACCTTTGATATGAGATTGCAGCCCGACCAAGAGGATAAATTTTGAAGTTAACAAATACCGTATTGAATGACCACGCAATAATTGAAATGGTGTTACAAAATTCTCAAATTGTAACAGTTTAATTTGATTATTTTCTGACCAGTTCAACCGTTGTAGCTCTGACCAGAGACCAACCTAGCCTGTTTCTGGGTCACATCAGCCTGACACTGTCGGCGGCTCACATCAGTGACATCAGCTGGCCATCACTCAGCGGCACCACGCGGCCAGTTAAACACTACTGCCCCACCCCGAACTGGCCAGAGGCCACACGCCCTAGCCAGATCAGTTTCAGAGGTTCTTGAATCAGCCATGACGAAATAGACAAACACTGAGTGGTTGGACATGAGGCTCGTCAATCGTCATCTGGGCCAGCTGTGGTGGCACCGTCCTGCAGGCTGGCTCCGTTTGTTTGGTCCCCTAAACCGCAATAATGCGAAAAAGACGGACATTGGTGTGTAAAGGCCGCGAGCATCGAGAAGCTAGTCTGAACGCGCTCCGGTGTATGGGCGTCAAATCACAGCGAGAGTGGTCGCGCCGACCGCGGTACTGCCCAGTCGAGTGGGTGGCGGACCGCCGCACCTTGTCCGTTCTACTGAGCCCGGCGCGGGCGGCCCACCTCACTGGCGGCTGGGCCCGGCGCCGGCCGCCGACCGGGGGCGGGGGCGGGGGCGGGCGCCGAGCCGCCCTCATGGGCTGGACGTGTGCAGGCTGTCGTCGCTCTCCAGGTAGGAGACGTACGAGTCGGAGCCGACGTCAGCCTCGTACTTGACGGGCGGCGCCGGCGGCGGCGGGTGGAGCTGCGCGTCGCTCCGGCTCAGGCAGCCGGGGTCACCGCCCGGGGGCGCCAGCGGCAGCGGCTCGGCGCCGAAACCGTGCATCTGAGAACGGAAGGGACAAAACGTTACAGTATGAAGGACAATTAGAGATAATATGCATGTCAATAGCGTGGTCATTACGGATCTAAAGTGGATCAACAAGGCAGAATATCTGCATGGCAACGCAAAAAGTAAACAAATAAACAGCCAATTACAACGATGTAACAGGCAGCGTGTCTGGTCTCTTGAATACCTTCACGAACAATGTCGATTTCACTAGTTCATTAGCTATCGTCAGAAATTAGGTGAAGGAAGCCCATCATGCCATATTGCATCAGGCAACGACGTATAAATTTATGCAGTATTTATAACACACAACCTCCCAACAATCATGGATACCGCATCCCATTATTGGGTATGACACCTTATCGACTTTGTTACGCGGTCATTCACCTTCCTCGCTGTCGCGTACCTATCTTCTGGGGGTCATGCAACGCTCCCATTGCGTTGAGGCCGCACGTGCCAGTGGCCGGTCATCCATGATAGAATGACGGCGTCATTTTCACGCCAGCCGCTGGATTACCGTCACGTACAATACCGATTCCGCTTTAATCAGCAGCACTCGCAATTAGCTGAGCGACGCCGCCCATCCGTCACCACCTAGCTTTATTATTAACGCCTCCTTATTCCACAAGTGGCTACCGTCATCAATAATTCGCCGTCTAGCCCGTGTCGGACAGCTTTCTGACGCCTTCATTACGGGTAGAATTAAAATGGCTCATGTTGACCGGACTGTCGTCACTCATCCGCACGGCCGGGGCTATTTGAAGGGACGGCGGAGTGTGCCTCGGGGCGCGGGCCGCCTCCCGGGGACCGATACGGGCGCTAACGGCCCAACTAATAGCGGTAATAGCTCAGGGCGGCGACGGGCGGCCGCTGTCGCCGCGCCGGACCCCGCACTAATTACAGGTGTTAAAATCAATAGAGCGCCGCCCCCGCCCCCGCCTCGGTCAGGACGCAGTCCTCGCCGCCGGCTGTGGGTCGACGTCAACAGGTAGTGTATCCGGACCAGGGATTACCTCCGACCACCAAACTTCCTGGGCGACAGAGGGGTGGCGGCCCAAAACGCAGCCTCACACGCACCTATATGTCCCTGTTGGGGCAATAACCGTTTGATCGGCGAGGGTAGACTATTTTTGTGTTTTAGAAGATGAACCATTCATTCATTTTAACCCGCGCCCGGCTGGGGGTCCTGGATTTCCACGCCCTGCTGGGGGGGGGGGTGTTTGAACACCCCCCCCCCTTGTAACTCGGCTCCTGGGCCACGTAGCGATACGCGGAAGGCGGCGTTCGAAAGAGCGTCAAAAATAATGACGAAATCACTTCGGTCAATTTTTTGGTCAGGTCAAAGGTCAGGTCACCAGAGGTCATTGAAGGCAAAATTTCGCCGATTTCCAGGTCGAATGTCGAAAATTTCCAAGAAGCCAACGCATAACTCGAGAACCAATAGAGCTACAGCGCCGCGGAAAAGCGCATTCGATAGCCCTATTAAAGCCCTTTCTGAGTAATTCTCTCAGATTTGACCTAACGTCAACGGTTTTGCCTGCAGGGGGCAAAAACTGCAAAAATAGCTGATTTTTTCGGGAACAGTTTTTCTGCAATAACTTTTGACCCAAGCCTTGTACGAGCTTACTTTTACCGGCATTGTGTTCCTCTCGTCAAGACGCATCGAATGAACTATAAGTTGACCTTGAAAGGTCAACTTGAAAATTTGACCTCAGGTCAAGGTCATGACCTCAGGTCAAGGTCATGACCTGACCGGAAAGGGTCATGTTGCATATCAGTCGATCCGTATCGTCGAGCTGAACACATCTAAGGCGTTTTCATCGCTCTAGCATGCCTCTATCAAAAGTTATTTGCGAAAAACTGTTAGATACCATTCCTGACCTAAGATGACCTCAGGGCATAAACAAGGGTCACGGACACCATTTTCATGTTCAGTGTGTCTAAACCACTTGTAATTCGGTGTTTGGGAGTGTTTATAATGTCTTTTGTCCAAAAGAGGCGCATTTCAATTTTCTCCCATTGACTTATAATGGGGAGGTCGCAAAATTGACCTGACCTTAGGTCATCGATATCAAAATTCTGAGATATACATTTTGTACATGCTATTGCTCTTAGCAATCGCTGAAAGTTTCAAAGCGATCGGTCCCTCGGTGTAGCTATGACAGACATTGAAACTTTTTATGAGGTGAGGTCACTTCAAGTGAACTGGTGACCTGACCTTGAATGACCTTGGTCTGAAATTTTCACAACATGTGTAGAATTGATGTATGATAAGGTGTACCAAAAACGGCGGCGCTCCGCGCCGCCGTTTTTGAGATATTCGCGAAAAACCACAAGGGGGGGGGGGGTGTTCAAACACCGCCCCCATCAGGGCGCCGGTATGTATCATTGCTTGAAATTAAATTTTCTGAAGACGTATGCGAACACCACTAAAAACAAAATGCATTTAATCGCATGCTAAGAAGCAAACACTTTTAGGTTTGGAGCGGCCCAGGAAAGGATGTCTGTCACCTTTTTGGGTGGCTGATCGGCTCAGTAACTGAATGAATGGCCAGCTCAGCAGCTCGGCTGAATACCATTTTACTAGCAGGCCCATGAATAACATCAGCGGCTGGTCAGCTGACCATCACAGCAGTCAGCAGGTGACCACTGGCCAGTGACCAGCTCAGCAACTGACCCGCACGCGCTGCTGGTCTACTGACCAGCTGGGCAGCTGGGGCCTGGGCGGCTGGCCAGCCAGCAACTGCACGGGCCGGGCGCGTTGGCGGGGCGGTATGCGGGCGGCGGCGCGCCCATCCAGGCCGGCCGCTGCCCGCGCTCGGTCTGTTTTCTGCTGAGTTATTGCCGTCACTCAGCCGCCGCCTGTCTGCTTACACGAGCTAAAAGCCCGCCGGCGTACGGCACTGTTTGTGTTTACGTACACGGGCCGGGCGAGCCGGTCGGCCGTCACCACAGATAAATTAGCCACTTAGCCACCGTATACAGCAATCTGTAGCAATGTATGACTGATGTTCGCAAATGAGTGGTTTTGTGGCTGTTTTTCGCGCCGCGGCCGAGGCGGCTCTGAAAGAAGCCGTGTGATTTAGATGGTTTGCGAGCGGCGCCGATGGCGTGCCAGGAGAGAATGGCACGCCGCGATGGATGGCACCTATCGGCAACACAAACACTGGCCAGCCGAGCGGCCGCAGCTGATGCACGGCGGTCCGGCCGGCGCCGACGCGACAGTGAAGAATGCCAGACACGCGCCGTCGCTGCCGCCGCCGACGGCGCCGGCCAGCTCCACTTCACGTGGGAAAGAGCTCGGCGCGTGCAGGCTGTCGAAGACGGCGGCGACCGGGCGGCGACGTTTTTGTCCAGGCCATCGACTTTTTGTGGGCCGGTCTAATGCGGCGCCGGCGCCGGCGGTGCGCCCCGAGAAAGCCAATGGGTCGGGTGACCGTGGACAGGGCGGGCGCGACGAGCGGCTCCGGGTGAGGGCGGGGGCGGCCGGCGGGGGCGGCCAGCGGGGGTGGTCGGAACGGACCAGAAGTGCACGACCAGCAGCTCACACGACACCAGTCGGCTTGCAGCGCGAACCAAAGGACGCCGCCAGCCGCCCTGACCTGTCCGTCGGCTGACCCATTCGCGGCAGCACAGTGCTCGGACCACCGCGATTGTCGGGACTCAGGACCAGGAGTTACATGAGCTGAATTATATTTGACACTGATGTCGAGATAAGTGCACTGTGCAGTGTGCAGCATGGGGTGCAATGGTGAACCGGGGTCATTATTATGTGGCATGTGATGTAGCATCCAGGTGGCCTTTAGCCCTGCTTTGGTAAATGGCACCCTCCCCTCTTCCACCATCCCCTCTCTCCCCTCCCTCTTCCTATCCCCAGGTCACCCTCGTGCCCCCCGCCCCACAAAACATGGCGGCCGGGGCGCTCTGCGCGCGGCGGCGGCTCCTATGCAGGCCAGGGTGCAGCCGGCCGCCACGAGGCCGCTATCGGGCCGTCAGATCGGGCCGGCCGGCGCCGCCACGGCCGCATCAAAGGCGGCCCGCCGCCGGACGGCGCGCCACTGCAGCCGCCTCGGATGACGCCGTCCGCCGGCTGACGTCACCGTCCGGTCAGAGCCGGGGTCAGTCGGGGTCAGTCGAGGTCACTAATGGGTCATCGGGAGCTATACTGCTGGCCACTGGGTCCACCAGGTCACAGTAGGCTGGTTGGTCGGGGTCATTGCTACATAGGTCAGCGAGGCTGACATAAGAGGTCATCCGGGGTCGCAACTTGGGTTACAACAAGGGTCACTACTAGGGTCACTATTGCACTATGTGAGGTCATCACCACCAGCATACAGACCATTATAGGCGGGTTAAGTGAAATCGGAAAAGAGGGATAAACGAATATAAATGGCGCAAAATATAGTTACGCTTTGAATACTACTGACCTTACTAAAAGAATTGCAGGACGGGGCACGAATTAAAGGACACTGAGGTTCTCACAAACTGTTGCCAAGGGAAGTCATACGGAAGTCAGACAGGCAAGGAACTTTGCTTTGCACAAACAGGTGAAGAGACTATCTAGAAGTTTCAACATAGATATACACACGAAGGAAAAACGAACAGGATTGGATGAAACTGGACTGAGTGATAGGCGCAAGTCGCAAAGGCTTTGCTGTTTTATGTGCGCTTCATGACCGCGATGGCCCTAAGAAATGCTGACCAAAGTCGAAACTCGAAGCTGATTTCGTACACTGGAGGCATTGTCATTATCACAGTCAAGGCTAGTTGTCAGGGCCAAGGTCAAGTCTCAATGCCAGAGCCACTCGTGGCTGAAACCCTGACTGAAAGCGGGCTTTGATCTGGGGTTCCGTCACATGAACGTGCAAGAAGCGGTCATGCAAGACGAAGTCAGCCTTATCAACATCTCTGTTCATGGCTGTGGTCGGCTCACGTCGACATGTGTTCTTCCCTCCCACATGGAGTGTCGGGCTGGTCAGTAGCGTGTAAGCAGGGACGTCGGCTGAGCTTTCAACTCGGGAGACGTCACACTGGCTCACCAAGACGGCAGGACACGTCAGGAAGGCCGCCGGGCCGTGCCGGGAAGGCCAGGTCGTGCGCCGCCCCCGGCTGTGCTGGGGAAGCCGCCGCGCCGGAGAGCGCCGGGGCCGGGCCCTTGCCGGCCGCCTCCGCGTGTGGCGCGGCGCGGCGCCGCTGCGGACCGTCGCCGGCGGCGCCGCGCTGTCACGGCGGTGTCGCCAGTGTCAGACGGGGTGTCGGTCGTGTGTCACGGTCGGTGGGCAGCCAGGGCGCGGCCGGCCCGCTCGGCTGGGCCCCGTAAACCGTGGCGGCGCTCCGCGGCCGCCGCGCCGGTCCACATTAATATTTATGTGACAGGCAGCGCGGCTTGGTCCGGGGAGCGCCGCCTCGACGGACTGTCACGCTGAACGGCCGACAGCGACTCAGGCGCGCCTCCGCCTCCGCAACTAACCTGGACCCCTTACTGCCTCCACCATTGTCCCACCTACCCTGTCTCTTACTTCTGACCTGATCCTCCTGGCCTCTGCCACCTCTCGAGCTGACTTGACTATTCCCTCCAGCGCTTCAATAACCCGACTTCCTTGTGGCCTTTAAACTGATCTGGGCCATCTACGCTGTCCTGTCCCTTTTCTTTTTTTTTCTCACTGTCACCGGAGCCGCCGCCAGTCCCTCTCTGTACACCGAACCTATCCCCACCACCGCCACCGCCGCCGCCGCCGCCGCCACCACCGCCGCCGCCGCCGCCGCCAGCTCCGCCGCCGCGCCGGCCCGGCCGCCAAAGCCGCCTGTTCTGCCGTCCGTCAGTCTGTCACAGCACACAGACATGGCAAGGACGCGCTGGGGAGGCCGGGGGTGTTCGGTGCCGACCCGGTCCCAGAGCGAGGGAGGGCTCGCCGCTTAGAAACTGGGCAGAGCCGATTCCAGCCATGGGACTCGAAAGGCACGGTAAATAAATTGTGAGGACAGGTGACTGGGACTGCGGACTGTGAGGACTGGGTACTTTTGGACTTGTGACTGGAAATGATTGGTGACCTGCGGGGTTCACTGTCACAGCTGCAGTTGAAAATGCGCACTGCACTGTGCCCCAGCCACCAGGCATGGTCTGCAAGCACGGGCACGGTTCATCAGATTGGCCGCAGTGATTTGTTTAATGAAATACGATGTGGGCGTATCTCGGCGGTGGGATGCATTGGAAGTCGCCAGTGGCCGCGCGGGCGACAGAGTTGGTATTTGTCCACCCTGACCCTGCACTGACAGTGTGTTTGGATAGCATTCAGCCCACACGGAATCCCGACTGCCCCGTATAAGGACTGGATAAGCGCTGTGAGAACGTGTACCGAACCTCCTTAAGCATGTACTGAGCTTGTTCTGGCCTCTGTCCAGCCTATGTTAGGTGTCCGTCTCCAGGCATGACTTGGGCTGACCACCCCGAGGATGAGGTCTTCCCAAACAAAACGACGCATGCCCGACCTCAATCAATAAGGCATGAGAGAATATTCAGCGCTCCTGCATGTGTTCGCGACGAACCGCACATATTTTTTATTCCGCGTCACCGGTCGCGATTTGGTTAGCGATAATAGTCAGATCCGGTCAGCTAAACGCCGGCCGAGCTCACCGTCAGCCGTCAGGACGGTGCCGATATAAAGCTGCAGTCTAGTTTTGAATGCGTCGAGGTCTGTCCCATTGTCTGCTCGGCGCTGCAGTCTCGCCTGGCCCGGCCGGTATTTGGCGGCAGTGCCGGATGTTTTGTCGCTGTAATCCCGTCCAACGGCGCGTGTCGCTGCCAATAGACCTGTCCGGTCGCCAGGCGCCCTGCTCCGTTCCCAGGCCTCGGCACGGAACACGGGCCGGGGCACGGGCCGTGCCACCCGCGGCACGGGTCTCTGACGTCACGCTGTCAGCGCGCCTCAGCCTCCTGGCAGGTGTGACCGGCCACCCCGAGTCAATAAACACCACAAAGTGGCTTTTAACTCGACTGAGCAGCCTGTTCCACAAACAGCGCACCCGGCGACTGCCTGGGCGGGGGCCACGGGAGGCGGGGGGAGGGGAGGGAGGACAGACAGCGGAGAGGAGGCAAATAGAGCACCCATCGCGGCGAGGAACAGGGAGGACAGGTAGGGGGAGGGGAAGGAAGACAGAAAGGGGGAGAGGAGACCAAACACAGTTCAGACGAGCGACGCAAAATTCTTGGATTGGGACGGGATTATAGGCCGGGTAGTTGGACAGTCATTGAAGGGAGATAGAAGTTATGGTATCACTCAATACCATAACTTCTCATACCATAACTTCCGATCAGTCAAACTTCTCAATAGCTCTTCTTCCCAGGCAATAAAAAGGAATTACCTAACATCGCGGCCTGTTAGGACAGAGCAGGCCAATCTGAAGGACAGGGCATCCTCTCCTCACAGTTGTGAAGGACAGGCGGCGGCGGCGGCGGACCCGGTCGCCGGCCGGCCGATGCCTCGATCTGATCAGAGCGGCCGATAGACGCTGTTTGTGAGTGGTACCGGCCGCGTAAAGAAGTCATTAGGTGATATTGGCCGGTGGGCCGGCCGGTCGGCCGAGCGGCGCCGGCCGGGCGGCAGTCGGGACGCGATCGGGTCCGATACGGGGCAGAGCCGAGCCGATCATCGGGCCGACACCGGGCGTCGCCCTGCCTGCCGCCCACCTACGCCCCCTCGCAAACAAACGCGACCGCCCCGGGTCGCCAGGAAGAGGCCGGTCGGCTCCGGTGTCCATTGCAAAAAAACGAGCCCGATCGAAGCGCGGCGCGCGCGCGCCGAGCATAGCAATGGCGCGTCTCAACATCAATCATTCCGGCGAGGAGGAGGCGGCGGCGGCAGCGGCGGCGGCGGCGGCGGCGGCGGTCCTACCTGCAGCCGCCACCGCCGGCGGGGGGGGGGGGGCAGAGAGGACGGGGGGGAGGCCGCCGGTGACCGTATCGCCGCCATCATCGCAGCCGTCGCCGAACGCGGCGCGGTCGACAAATTGCGGCGCGTTTTTCTGGCTGCGCGCCGTGAGCCGTCGTTGCGGGCCCGGCAGCTGTCAAAGCACAGCACCACTTGACAAATGACCCCAGATACTAGCCGGACATAATGAGAGCTTATCGCCGCTCGCCGACCGGTAGGGCGTCCGCATGATTAAACGCCATTGTGGATTTGACCTTACGGATATAGACGTAGAACATGAGCCGGCGGGCGGGTGCGCGCGCGGTCTCGGCCCATTGATCTGAGGTCATGTACGGATCGTGACGGCCGCTACACCGGTTATATGACAGCAACCTGCTCATGAATACATCTGACACCACAGAGATGACCATAATAGGACGCATATAGTGGCGGCGCCGTCATTCATGATGAATCCTGGCGATATCATGAAGTGATAGATGAGCTGCGGTAGCTAAATGCCAATATCGAGTTGCAGAAATATGCAATCGGATGCACTTAGCTAATTTTGTGTTTTGTTGAGCATTAAAATGTATCTGCACCGCAGCAACATCAATGGTAAACAGATGGTAAACAATGGTAAACAGATTTTGAGTAACTTTTATGTCAACTCAAAATTATTCGATTGCCAAATAAAAGCAAGATCGGCAATGTCGCAAGGCTCATTCTTTCGGGTCGTAATTATTTCAAAAACACCTTCAGATGACGTCACTCGGAGCGTCCTTCTTGAGCTTAGCGCGGCCATCACGTCAGGGAGGCCGTGCTAAAATTATCACCATTTCCTAATGACGCACGGCAATGAACTTTAATCACCGGACCAGTCGGTCGCACCTGCGCGACAGACATGTTCCTCCGTGATCGAGGGATTCCCGTGGATTCAGGAAGAGTCACCAAGTACCTAAGTTAGGAACTAAAACCTGGCTGCAAGCACGCTGGAAGTGGAGCCGTCATATGACACACGCTTTCATCCGAGAACTTCGGCCATGGTGCAGTAAGATGATGACGGGGAGAGGTCGAGTTACCGCGGCTGTCCTGTGGTCTCAGTACTCACGTCCGGCTTCGACGAAGCGGATGGCCATGCCTTGAAAGTGTAAAACGCACTACAGAGCGCTAGAAAATGCAAGAGCGGATCTTTGATGGTCGTGGGAAAAACGGAATTAAATTTCATGGCTTATTTAGACATCGCTTTCCTCATATTGTTTCGTATAATACACTCAACAGAAATTACGATTTGGAAAGTGAAGCTTTCTCTCGCCCCTCTCTGAAAAGACCGCAGCATACTTTTCATCCCTCGCCGTGGGTCATTTGAGTCGTCTTAGTCATAGATCCCTACATCCCCAAACGCTGTGTCAGCCACCCACCGCCGCTGACCACTGCCCTCCCCCCTCCCCCTCCCCCCGTCCGGTCGGACCACCAGCGGTGGCGGTCGGACGACAGACACCGGACCTGTCTCGACATCACCGCGACACCGCCGCCGGTCACGTCATCCCGGCCTACGCAGCGTACCGAGAGGTGGACGGACGCGTCATCCTGGTCATCACCTAGCATCTAGCGGCTCGGTAGTCCCGGCGCTGCGTGGCCTAATGAGGCTAGTTGATGAATTGAAGGATGAAGACCTCAGTGAAGGCAACAATAAACGCTGAGGAGCGCCTGATACTGGTACTACATAGTACTGGTACTCACCTGACTGAGTAGGGCCTGGTACTGGAACTGGTACTGGTATTAGTACTGGAATAAGTACCTGGCTGAGGAGCGCGCACTGCGGTGCGCCTGGTACTGGTACTCACCTGACTAAGGAGGGCCTGGTACTGCGGCGTGCCCGGGTCGATGTCACCCTGCAGGGCGTACTCGTGCAGCGCCTTCCAGGGCGGCTGGTAGCTGGTGATGTCCACACCGCCCAGGCCGGCCGGGTCCAGAGGCGCGGCCGAGTCGTGTCGGACCGGCGAGCTGGCCACCATGTGGATCCCCTGGATGGGCAGCATGCTGCTCAGACGGCGACCGTCCTAAGGGAGGGACGGGGACACTTCGTCAGAACGCTATGTGAGACTTTGTCAGAACGCGCCCAGACATCTGGGTTAGACACTAGACAAGGGCATACGTACCTAATCTAAGTCCTTGATGCTACAGTTCAGGTTACAAAGAAAAGTATAAAAAGGCACCAAATTTTATTAGTATGTATTATAAAAAAACGATAAATAGGCGAAACAAATAAAATAAAAGTGGCAAAATTATAAAAAGCTTAAAAAGGTTGACGAATCTACCAAATGTTTTCAAATACAATGTTCAAATTTCAACGCGCTCAGTGCAATCGCGCCGTAGAAGCAATTACGTAATGGCCAATCAAATTTCAAGACCGACCGAACTATCGGTCAGGCGACTGGCAATCCCAGTCACCCGTCCGGGCGACCCAGCCGGACAATCCCTGACCTCTTGTCGTCCCACGCGGACCACACACCACTGCAGTCGCACCGCATGGAGAAACCCACCCGAATGCAACCATCTTAATTATGCCCGGGCCGCGGTGTGCCGTGCCGGTCGGCGGCGTCCCTCAGCGGCCTCCGATGCCGCCAGTCAAATCAATCAATCAGCGGCGGGCCGGGTGGCGCCAGCCCGCCGAAGCGGCCGGCGACACTGGACGGAGCCGCGGCGCCCGACCGCCGCCGCGGGCCAAAGGGCGCCGCGCGCCGCCGCGCGGTCCTTTGATGTGGCTCAGGTGGCGGCCGGTGGGCCGCGCCCAGCCGGGCGTGGATCGTTACTCGTGATTCGTGGGCCGCGCTGGACGCTCTGAGGATGCCGTGTTGTCACGCGGGTGTTGTGATTTGAAATTCACAATGGTTGTGGGGGAGACAATTTGGTAACTGAAGCAAGCGACTGTGGTGACTGTGGCGACTGTGACTTTGTGCCTGTGGTGACGGATCATTATGTTGCGATGTGTGGGCTGTGGAGCTCAGTCTCCGCGGCCGACGGCAGCGCTGCAGTGCCGGGCCGGTATCAGCGGCGGCGCCTGGTCGGCCATACTGACCATATTGACCATCGCTCGGTCACTGCACCGCTCCGAGCGTGCCGCGCGATAGCACCGCTCCGGCACCGAGCACGAGCCTTTGGTAGGCCGCCGCCGCCACTTCATACACTAACATTAGTCGGCGATAGGTCGCCATGGCGCCGATAAGATTAGCACCCGCCGGCAAAAGCGCCGCCGGTGGCCGCCGATGCGCCGTTTTTGCCGACGGCCGCCGACGTGGCGCGTGCGGCCTGAGAAGTGGCGCTGCAGCTGGGCGGCGGCATCCACGGCGCGGCGGCGGCAGTTGTGACAGGCCACCGGCTCGCTGTCACATTTCACGCTCCTGGCTCGCTGGTGGTGCTCTTTTTCCGGCGCGTCTGTCTCGAGGGGCTGCGAGGGAGCGGGCTCGCAAAACACGGCCAGCGGCGGGCGGCGACGGGCGGCGGCGGCAACGGCCGCCACCTGCCCTCCGCCCGTGTCTCGCAGTCGCGGCCCGACAACGCTCCGTCCGTCCTCTCAGCGGCCCAGAGTAGGCTCCATGACGTGTCAGCGCACCGCCGTCGCAGATTAGTCGTGTACCATTGACACTGGGTCGATAGAGTGTGGAATCCCGCGGCGTCTCGTCTCTCTGTGTTTGTCTCCCCGTGAGTGGTCCGTGTGTGACTGTGCGTGTTTGAGTGTGTCGGGAGGAGCTGTCACCGGATATACTGGGACCGGGAGCGTTTTAGACGGCGCAGGCGGAAGGAACTCAATCCAAGGAATGAAAATTGCTTTGTTCTGCCCCAATAGGCTATTGATTCTGCATATTATGTCAAGCATCATTGGCATAAATAATAATTTTAATTTTTCCATGATCGTATAAAGTAGTTAGAAGTTCCAGCAAACAAAGTGGTTATTTTTAATCGAGCTGTCTTTTTTTCTGGTCACCCATGACCTCACCCAGACTGGTCAGCCTGGGTATCCCCCTTCTACGGAGGGCACGAGGAAAATCCGTCAATGGCGAAACAAAGACGCCGCCATTGACGCAGTCGTCGGGATCTGGTCTACGTCCATCGTCACTGTCGAACTGCTCCTATGCCCCTCTCTGTCTCTGTCTCCGTACCCTCTTTGTCTCCGTCCCGTCCCGTTTCCGTTCCGTCACCGACCGTCTCCCACCGTTCGATCCACAGGACCGGTCATTTTTGGAGCTGGCGGACTTGACTCGTCAGTCGTCACCTACCGAAGACACAAATACTGAATTCTGAATTGGGTACCTGTGGTAGGTGGACCACCTGCCTGGCCACCGGTTGCTTTCTACCCCGTGACCCCCAAGAAAGCCCCTCCTCACAGACAGAACGCGGAAACGCCTGTTTCCTGCCGATTATCCCGTCCACCCACCTTGTTAGCTTCCTGCATCTGACGAAGGTAGATCTGCCGCTTCTTGTCTTTGCAGCGCTTGTTCTGGAACCAGACCCGGATGACCCGAGGGCTGAGTCCGGTCATTTCGACCATTTGTTCCTTCATAAGCGCGTCCGGCCGCGGGTTGGCGTTGTAGCAGGTGCGCAGCGTGTGCAGCTGCTTCTCGTTGAGCACAGTCCGCACGCGGGTCGTCTTGCCGTCCCGCTTCTTCTGCTCCTTGTCGGCCTTTGGTTGGACGTTCTCTTCACCAGAGTCTGCGAAGGAAAAGGAAACATGGCATGTAACATGCTATTTCGTGATATATCCCTACTGAAACTTAGAATAAGGCACCCAAGTTTTGATTAAAAGAGAAGGGGTCGGGCACGGGTCCAGGTCTGTGGCACTGCGAATATATGATCTGCACTTTGCACCTATGCTTTGCGGGCATTTGTCGGCATTAACGGGATATAGAGCAAAATATGTTGAATGGATGAATGTAGATTGCAGAAGATGGCATGTAGGACAAACAACTCGTTGGCTCTGTCAGGCACGTGGGGTCTATGAGAACTGCATATTGATCCCATTTAGCTCGTGAGTTCGGCATTTCTCGAAACGTGTTTTTTAGGATAATGGCTCCTTTTCATGGCCTTGATCGATGCCGGACATAGAGGATTCTTCATGGCTCCGAGTGGAAGATAAGGATATCTTTCTAGTTGAGGTTTATTTGCCATTGGGTCCACAGTGCAGGGATATTTCTATCTCGCACTCCTCTGAGATGCAAAGATAAGAATTTGTTATACCTGCATCCCTCTGAGATGCAAAGATAAGGTCTCGAGGGTTCATAGCGAAAAATCAAGAGTTCAAGTGATGATGGGTCAATAACCAAACGACATTTTTAATGGTTGTTTATGGATGAAACTCATGAAATAAGAACAAACTACTCTGAATCTATTTTTACATAGATGAATGCATTTAAATATAATATCTTATTAATTAAGAATAAACCTCAACATAGAAAGATATAGGATTCCTCATGGCTCACTCGTGGAAGATCGGATATCTTTTCCTCGCGTGTTACAGAAAAACCTCGCTCCTTCGTCGCTCGGTTTTTCAGTAACCCGCTTGGAAAAGATATGTATTGTTTACTGGAAATGCAATCAATAGGTGACTAACAGAGGCCCATGAATAGGTATAACTCTTAGGTGCTTTGGCTCAATCTTTTTATCATTATTTAACGTTTATAATTTAATATTGCATCTTTAATTATATATGGTTATCGCAAGAACTTAACCTATTTGTGCCGAATATCTCCACAATAAAATTTTAATCCAACTGTTCTCCTCAAACAAAACATCCCATTCCCTTTAATTATACGCCACCTGCAGTTCAACATACATGATCCATCAATCATTTTCAACCACACGTTTGATGACTGTAGCCGCATCTCCAGACCCAGCGTGTCGAAATCCAGTATGTCTTAACCCTCGCCCATGTAGGGGGGGGTTGGTGCAACCCCCCCCCCTGAGGTTTTTCGGAAATAGTGCAAAAACGGCGGCGCGCAGCGCCGCCAAATTTTGGGTACCTTATGGGGCAACCCTTGCGCATCTTTTGATAAAAAAAATTTGACCGGGTCATGTCAGGTCACGGAGTTATGACGTCACAAAGGGAACAGCCTCCGGCCGGATTTTCACAAACTGAGTGCCAACGCCCGAGGTTTCCTGCCGGTGGTACGGAGATCGGTTGATGGATCGTGATGAAACTTCCCATGCATGTTGGGGCAAGTATTGGCTATCATATGGTATAAGAAACTTGACCGGGTCAGGTCAGGTCACGGAGCTATGACGTCACAAGAGGAACAGCGTCCAGTACTATTTTTGAAAAGCGCCCGAACCACTATTTTGCTAATTCTTGTCACCTCAATGGGAATATGCAACAATATTAGCTTCTATAGGGAGCAAGTGGACCTCCCAAATCCAAAAATACAATCAGATTTCAAAAATTTAAATTTTGATTTTTCAAATTTCTGCCGCCGACTGTGACCTTGCCGACTTCCGGCGCTCCCAACGCGCCATTTTTAGAGCTAGGGAAACGAAATACATACCAAACGATAGAGAATTGATCAAGGAACACGATAGTGAAGGTTTCAAGTCGATATCTCCCACCGTTTTGCCGCAATCGCCGCCGAAAGTTGAAAAAAGTCTATTTTTCCGAAAATTTGACCTTTGACCGGTCAAAAGTAGGTCAAATGTTGACCTAGGACCAAAAAATATACCACCAATCGCGAGATCTCGGCGAGAGCAATCCGTTGGTCTTTTCCGCTAAGCTCTACGACGCTCCGTTTTCAAACGCCAAGGGGGGGGTCGCACCAACCCCCCCCCTGCATGGGCGAAGGTGGCAGATCGCCGTTTACGGGCGAGGGTTAACGGACCGTTTATTGGACCGAGTGAGCTGAGTGGATAGCCCACACGATCTCGAGAGTAACAGTCGTTGCGACAAATGTGCCTTCTGGGTCGCTTCGCGGCTAACGTCCATACATCCAGAGGCATCCTTCCAAGCCAGCCTCACATCTCCGACGCCATATCATCGCTCGCGCAAACACAGACACGACACGACCGCCTCTGCCGCCATCAGCGCGAATGATCCAGAATTATGGCCGGGAATAGAGCCGGGTGGCACGTCACACAACAAACGAGTACTGAGAAGTATTGCAGAAATTGCCTTCTAACAATACGCCAACGAACAATGAGCCATCGAATATTCAAACTATCAAATAATCACGCGATACATTTCAAATTGGTCGTTTACGACAATCAACATAGTACAAATGATACAACGGAAAAACACAAAGTACAGCAAAATCAAGTACAAACAGAGTAAAAGCCATACGAAAATGTCCACCTCTAGGACCATGGGCGATGCTACTCGCAAACCGAGGGGAGGTAGTCCCGGCTCTCCAGGCAGGCAGAGCGGGGAGGCAACCGGGGCAGAGAGAAGAGCGAGCCGGCTCGAGCGGAGCGGCGCACGACTGGGAGCCCGCACCCCCGTTCCACCGCGCGCCGCAGCGGCGCCGCCTACACCCGCCCCCATGTGCGCACCATGTGCGTCACATTACTTATTCTACATGAGAAACACTAACTTCGAGATCGGCCTCTTCAAGACGCTGCTTGCCGTTTTCACCATAGCGGAACGCACAAGACCCTCGCTGTCCGGAAACACCTCCAATACGCGTCCGAGAGGCCATCGACATCGCGGGCTGTTAACGTCAACGACCAAAACAACGTCACCAACAGAGAGGTTCTTCCGTGTTCTGACCCACTTCTGGCGCTGCTGAAGAAGTGGCAGGTATTCCTTTACCCAACGCTTCCAAAACAGGTCGGCGAGATATTGCACCTGCTTCCACCTTCGACCAAAGCAGCTGTCCCCCTCGCTGAAGATGCCGTCTGGCACCGGACCACCACGCAGTAGTAGCAGGTCGTTGGGGGTGAGAGGCTGCAGATCAGCTGGGTCACTTGATACCGTCGTTAGAGGTCTACTGTTGAGCACAGCCTCCACTTCGCATAGAAGCGTGCGGAGCGACTCGTCAGTCATCGTCTGCTCCCTGAGGAGCGCATTCAGGACTTTCCTGATGCTCCGAACTTGTCGCTCCCATATACCTCCTTGCGATGAGGCACCTGGAGGGGTGAACTTCCACGTGATCCCCTCTTTCAGTAAGCAGTCATGAACGCTTTTCTCTCGCAGCTTACGGACTTCTTCTCTCAGCTCTCTCTCAGCGCCTGTGAAATTCGTCCCATTGTCAGACCTGATAAACTTCACTTGACCCCTCCGAGCCTGGAATCTGCGAAGAGCATTAATGAAAGAGCTTGTATCTAGGGTTTCGCACACCTCGATGTGAATAGCCCGAGTTGCGAGACACGTGAAAAGCACACAATATCTCTTCATCTGCTTTCGTCCCACCTTGACATAGAACGGACCAAAATAATCGGTCCCAACTCGACTGAAAACTCCACTATCTGGCGCCGTTCTGTCTTGCGGTAGGTTCGACATCTGCTGTGTCACCACCGAACCCTGAATCTTTCGACATCTAACGCATCTTGACAGAACTCTGCGTACTGCAGAGCTTCCAGACACAATCCAGAACCTTCGGCGCAACTCAGCCAAGACATGTTCCCTTCCAGAATGTCCCTTTCTCTCGTGCATGTCCCGTATAATGAGGTCAGTGACGTGACCATTCTTGGGAAGAATCAGCTGATGTTTTGCAGCGTCTGGAATCTGAGCGTTTACGAGCCGTCCTCCGACTCGTAGAGTTCCGTCAACCACACAAGGATTCAGACGGAACAAACGGCTCGACTTCCTCACTGAACCGGACATTTCTTCAGGAAACGCCTGTTCTTGAACATGTCTCAGAATCGCAGCTTCTGCCATCTCAAGTTCTTGTACGGACAGCCTGGGTGAAAGAAGATCTTCATCACGTGTACCGGACTCCTTCCTGCCGGCTACTCTCTTCTGCAGCAGCTGCCTCCACCGAAGCACCCATGCGACACGTTTCTTCAGCTTGAACCAGTCACTTGTGCTGTTCAGCAGCTGTGCAGTGTAGTCATTACCTTCTGTAGCTGTGGTGGCGCTGACTACGCTTTTCTTGATCTCAAGCTCCTCTGTACTGCCCTGAAGCTGTTGGACTTGTGCCTGATCCGGCCATTCACAGGCGGCGCTCTCGAGGAACGCTGGGCCAAGAACCCAGCGAGATGCAAGAAACGCTGGTCCTGACTGACCACGGGATAAGCTGTCTGCCGGATTCAGCTCTGAAGGGACGTATCGCCACTGGTTAGGACTTGAGCCATCATGTATGACGGCTAACTTGTTGGCCACGAACGTCTGGAAGCGAGATGTGACGTTCTGTATGTAGCGGAGCGTTGAGACGCTATCGGTCCAAAAACACACCTCATCGAAATGCAGATCTGTCTCGGAGAGTATTTGAGTGCTCAATTGTACTGCCAGAGCGGCAGCCGTCAACTCCAGGCGAGGGATGGAGCAGGTCTTCAATGGGGCTACACGGCACTTGCTCATCAGTAGGGATGTCGTAATCCTTCCCGCAGCGTCCTCTACTCGAACGTACCCAACCGCTCCATACCCGACTTCACTCGCATCTGCGAACATGTGCAGCTGTCGACTCCGAGCCTCACCATGCAGTGGGGCGACGCTTCTCGGAACGGAAAAATCTCGGAGGTCTGCAAGCTCTTCACACCACTGATTCCACCGCTGGAGATGAGAGTAGGGA